TATCAGCAATCCTTTCGCAGAGAAACAAAGGAAAAGACGACGAGAAAGTAGTGGCATATGCGAGTAGAGCATTAACAGAAGTCGAACAAAGATACTCCCAAACCGAGAGAGAGGCGCTGGCTATTATTTGGGGAGTGGAACATTTTCATCTATACCTGTACGGAAACGAATTCGTTCTAATCACAGACCATAAACCACTAGAAGTAATCTACGGCAACAGAAACTCCAAAACATCAGCAAGAATAGAACGTTGGGTGTTACGCTTACAACCTTATGCTTTTCAAGTAAGATACAAGCCAGGAGCTAACAATCCGGCTGATTATCTATCGCGCCACCCAACAGGAAAAAGCTACAAACAGCAGAAAATGACAGAGGAGCACATAAACTTTATTGCTCGCTCCAGTGTTCCGAAAGCACTGACGATAGAGGAAATCGAAGAAGCAACGAACAAGGACAAAACCTTACGAGGAGTTCGGGCAGCTATAAAGCTCAACAAGTGGCACTACGAGGTAGTCAAGCCTTATAAACAAGTAAAAGACGAACTTACTGTGACAACAAAGGGCGTGGTTCTTCGTGGTTCTCGTATAGTGATACCAGAATCGCTACAGCAACGTGCGATTGACATTGCGCACGAAACTCATCTTGGCATTACCAAAACGAAATCATTAATCCGAGAAAAGATTTGGTTTCCGAATATTGATAAAATGGTGCAAGCAACAATCGAGAAGTGCATTCCTTGTCAGCAGTGGGTAAAGCACCACCACAAGAGCCAATATCAACGACAACAATGCCAAAGGGACCATGGGAAATGATACATTTGGATTTCTACGGACCACTTCCTTCAGGAGAATACCTTCTGGTCGCAATTGATCGCTATTCCAGATATCCCGAAGTGGAAGTAGTACGCTCGACAAAAGCTTCTGTGGTCATACCCAAATTAGATCAAATGTTCGCCCGTCATGGCATCCCAACAACTATCAAGACAGACAATGGAACGCCTTTCAATAGTGCAGAATATAATCGTTATTTGACAGCTCTTGGAATTAAAGATATTCATTCAACACCTAAATGGCCCCAGGGCAATGCAGAAGCGGAAAGATTCATGCAGCCCCTTGGAAAAACGCTACGAACCGCTCACATTGAAAAAAGACCCTGGCAGCAAGAGCTGCATCGTTTCTTGCTACAGTACAGGACAACACCACACTCTTCCACGAAAGTTCCACCAGCGGAATTACTATTTAACCGTACAGTGAAAGAAAAGCTTCCAGAATTGAAAAAGCGGAACATTGTTAACAAACACAATATTGCTAAAAAGAATGAAATGGAGAGACAGCGATACAACAAAGAACATGCGAATGAAAAAAGAAACGTAAAAGAGAGTGAAATTAAGATAGGAGACTATGTCTTAGTTCGTCAGGACAAGCAGAACAAATTGACTGCGAATTACAGCAACGTTCCATACGTAGTCACACACAGATCGCATTCACAGGTTAAAGCAAGAAGCAAGAACGGACACGTTATCACACGAAATGTGTCACAGTTTAAACGCATACCAAAGCCAAGGGATGATACGGACAGTGATGACGATAATGAGAAAGAACGTCATCAAAAGAGGGACAATACCATCACACTACCAGCAGCAACAAATGTTGGACATCAAGATCAAATACCGACACGACGATCGAGCCGAGTCAGAGGAAAACCTGATAGATTTGGACATTCAGTATATGATTGAATTATGTTTGTTAAATGTTAATATTGTTTTAAAAAAAAAAGGGTGATGTAATATACATAACTGGTATTTATAGATAATTAAGCTTGTACAATAGAATTAGAACTGATTGACAGTTAGAGACAGACAATAATATAGAAAGTGTATGAGAGCGAGAAAAGTAAGAGCACATGAAAAGTAATATATATAATATAGAGAAACAAAATATACAGTTATACAAATCGGAGCAAGGAGTGAGATCATTATACCTGACGCATCTCTTACAGAACTAGAGGATGTTTTTCTGTAGTTTTCGCTTCACTACAACCCACATTAGCGTCCGCTTACGTTATTGTGTGGGACATTGGTTTCACGGTTGCTACTAGCTACGTGCTACCTCAAAACCTCCATTTCCTATGCTATATGCATGATACATACACTATTGACATTTACATAACAATTCCTTTATTAACAATACATATTACAAATTACGACCATGGGCCGGTTGTACGAAAGGTGGATAACTTATCCAACGGATAAGTCCTATCCAACGGATAAATATGCTATCCAGTGGATAGTTATCCATTGGATAAAATCGTGTTGCACGAAGCGTGGATAGTGGAGTGGATAGCTATCCAATGGATAAGTTAAAAATTACCCGGAGAAAACAGGATTATCCTGAAATTTCGTACCACAACGTCAGCTGTTGCTAAGCATTTATAACATTGAATCATTCTGAATTGTCGATTAGTTACTGATTAAGTGATTTGCACTTCACATACTAGCGATTTTATTCAACACATTGCAATTTTATTCCTTGACCTTGCGAGGCTTTGCCCTTCGGTTCCATAATAAATTTAGGAACACTATTTTAAAGTTTTGATTGGCTAATCATAGCGAAGAACAAAATTCGTAGCCTTGTTGTCTTTACTTGTCTATTACGTGATTGAAATTGCTTAGATATTAGCAAGTTTCCATGGAATAGGTTTAATTTTCTTTGCATATTCGCTTTTATAAACTGGTTAGAAGTATATAATAAATTTACCGCCTGTTATCATTGTGAGGATGTCCAGAAAAACGCCGCTCGGAACGGAATGTGTAAACAAAATGAAATGCTGCTGCGACAAATATAACAATGGCTGGATTTCACTTCGAAAACAGTTTTAATAGTGAGTACAATCATGTACATTAGTTTGTTGAAACACAGTAATAGGAAACTTGCTTTTTTGTCCTTTTTCATCGTAAATGTTTACAGTTTTATCTTGTATCTTCGAGTTTATCCACTGGATAGTGGATTTAAACTACCTCCGGACCTTGGATAACTTTATCCAACGGATAGGGGTTTTTATCCGTTGGATAAATTTATCCAAGCTTCGTGCAACGCAAAATTCACGCTGGATAAAAGTTATCCGTTGGATAGCGACTTATCCGTTGGATAGCGACTTATCCACCTTTCGTACAACCGGCCCCATAACACTATATATTTGCGCATACTATGTAAATGACTGTTTACTTATATGGTTGGTATACTCAACCATGCGTTAACCTAAATTCCGCAACAGTCGTTAATATTTGTTTGACAAAATATTAGGCAGAATCTATGACGCGGGCGTGCCATGAAAGTTGCTACTAGTGTGAGTATTGACAGACCCCCTATATCAATCATTTCATATGCTCTACAGCAGATTACATCATTTCAATATACTAATATATATCAAGAAAATCTATATTCCTCAGTATGATAACATTTTTCAATATGATATTCTCAGAAGTAGATAAATGTTTCTATAAAACTTGATATTTTGACCTCTCAGACATCTTGAATACTAGACTGGAAACTTGTAAATGTAGCTAAGCACCTGGTAATATTTAACTATAGTGAAATTCCTAAGGGTGAAGCTTAAAAACCATGACATTAATTTGTAACAACATAGTTGAGTTTCTCATTTGGATATTACTAAAGTAAGAATGGTATTAAAATTAATAATAATCATGAAATTTTGATTTGATCAAGAATCAAGACAGGAGTGTGTTGTTGTTGGGCAGAATGTAGTTATTTTCAAAATTGATCCAATAACCTAGTAAGAACAAGTAGAACTAATTCCTTTCTAATTTATTTAAACTAACCTAATACCGCAGGTTGCATAGTTACTGTACATGTCTGAATATGAATACATACACTGACTGACTAATAATGAATGCATCAACTGCTCAACAATTTGAAAAGTTCCTTAAAAAGTTCCGAACTTCCTGTTTCATTGACCAATCAAATGTTATATTTTATTTTTGAGCAATCTGATTGGTCAATGAAACAGGAATTGTTCAGATGTGTTCCTTCAAGTTAGGAAATGAACTGGTCAACATTTTTCGGAATGCTTCTATTAGCACAACTGAAAATAGCTCTCATAGATTGCTCTCATATTTGTATTTTTTATATTTATTAGTTAAACTCCCTTTCCCTAGAATTTAGATACTCACACATTCTTTACTCTGGAGAAATACTGTAGATTAAAACTGGGTAAATCCATCAATGGCAGAGTTTAAACTGTTGAAATCTACATCACAATTTGAACATAGTGATCAGGCAACTTCTTACATGCTTATTATATCTCTGTCCAATCTGGATAAATATTATTAAACTTTATAGAAAACTTCACCCCTCTTGCATTCTCTCTTGCACACCTGAGACTCTGCAGTTATGAGAGCAGCTTTTACACTCCAGTCTAGAAACTTGTTTTCCAATGTCGTATTGTGCATAAACTATATCATTACATATTATTGCTTATACGAAACACAATATGAATGATGTGTCTTTTAGGAACATTCATGCAAAAACATGCAAAGGTTGGGGCAGCATTTAGTGCTTTCTTATGTATTATTTGACCAACCAAAGTCCACAGGTCTGTAATCAAAACAATCAATATAAGATTGAACCTGAAAAGAAGACCATTGTCTTTCATTTCCTCATGTATGAAGAAAAAACAAACATTACATGACACACAGTTACACAAAATGACTGAGACATAGCTATTAGTCTATGCATCATGTGTGTATTTGTCATCAGTTCATCTAGTGTTGCTAATATATTGTTTTTTCTATTAAACATTTGAGATATTTATGATGAATTGATAATGACTTATTGATAAATATTTAATGTTGTAGTTACCAGTATATATTACAGTACAAACTACCAAGTCTGTGGGGGAATATTGCAAAATTTAATACCAAATTGACTTACGCTTGTTTTATAAAAATAATCAACCGATCGCAAGTTGAAAAGCGAACTCACCTGTTTCACTACACGTTAGTCAACTTTTCGCAAGCAAATTTGAGCGAAGATTGTTCACAACTTGGCATCTTCTCGACGGATTTTTATCGCCATTAACGCCCAGATCGTCATGAAAATTCGTCGTTTTGTAGTGACGAACCTTCTCGCAATTTTCCAAAGAAAGCAAACATCGATGGACACGAAATGATGTTAAAAATCCGCCGATTCTTCTCTCGCACGAAATTCACGGCACAAACGGCAGCCATTTCGTTCGAAAGCAACTTTGCATATTCCTATTGTCATGCAACAGATTACAGAAGTTTCATATCTGTATATAGCTAATCTGTGCCATGCTTAGCGCGCCTTGCGCTAAAAGGGGAGCGGTCTATTAAAATGTATATTTTTATAAAGTTAGTAAGCTAAATCTAGCTTTCATCGTTCATCCCGTTCAACTGAGCAGTCTGATCTCAGTTTAGCCTAAGTTTGTAGGTAGTTTGGCGCGTACTTTCTTTTTTTTCAGCGCAAATTATTGACGATTTTGACGCATAATTCGTTGTGAAATTTTAGCTGTCCGACGCAAAGATATTTCGACATTCCATACTGGCAAATTGCACAAATAAATATACATTATAAAAACAATCAAAACAAAGTAATACCTTTTTATTTCAAGTACAACAGATCTGATATCAGAAATCTATTAAACGACGATTTTTCCAGAAGAAATATCAGGGTTTACTTCGGTATTTTGATCACAAATATATTTGTAAGTTTTGCTTCGACAAAATCATGAAAAAATCATGTGACTGTCTGTCACTGACCTGAATATATGTGGAGCTCACTGATGCGCATATTATGGTAATATCACACCGCAATATGGCGGCTGCCAAAGAGTGCGCTAAATCGTCAAAGCGGTTATCACAACAACGGCTTTCCTTGGAGGCTAGTTTAGAAGACTTACGGGAGTTATCCGGTACAATAGAGAAAAAAAAGACTCCAAAGCAGAGCGACTTCTTTCTCACGTACGATAACAGTGGTAAAAGAATATGTGATTCCAATTACAAATACCGCTCTGTTGCTGAACGGAAAAAAACCAAAAAGCGCGCTACTTCTGGCCAAACTAGTAGTGTCACTGGTAAATTAATCATAATTTTTTTTATATAAATAATTATTGTATTTTTCGAGAGCGACGACGTTGACCTTTGCCCATTTGAATGAGATAGTGGTTTTGATTTTGACATCATTAATAAAGAATCATCTGATGCTACTCTACAAAGAAGTTAGTCTCATCCCTATATACCGTGATGTTTCATTTATTACTACTACTTATTACGACTACTCAACGCTGGCGTGCAAGCATTACTGTGCTATTCATATTTATAATTTGTGGAAAATTTGACCACCTGTATAGTAAATTGTGAAAGTTTGACCCAAGAGATGAAGTCCCGTACCCAGTCCATGTGGAAAAGAAGAATGCAGTCTGTGGATGCTGCATGGAAAAATAGTAGATCTGCTATATTTGCTGTTTTAAAAATCTATGCAATTCCTAAAACTGGGGCTGTTTGCTTCATGTGCAGAGAAGACAGAGCTGTTGTTCGGTGTCGCCACTGTGGACCAGATGCATTACTCTGTAATAATTGTGATGAGACAGCTCATGAGATAAAACCTTTGCATCATGACCGTGATGTTTGGATAAATGGATTTTATCAACCAGTTCCTCCAACTGAAATAGTCCTGCCAGATGGATCTCCACGCTTCAACAGTAAGTGATTATTGTCAATTTAATAATTCAAAAAGTATCATTGGTTTGTTAAGATGTTGACTATATTTTTGATATTCTTGTTCAAGAGACTATGAAATATATCAATTATAATTATTGCTATGCATGCATTTATTTTTTTATACAATCATTTCAGGTAAACTACAAGTACTGGTTCAGTAATCTTAAACTTTATAAAATGACTGATTATTACATTTTCTGCAGGAAGATATGCTCCATTTTTATTTTGTAACGAATGTATTTATTGCAAGGGCCAGGATACACTTTCTATCATCCCCTCTAATGAAATGTGCATTCTTATAACAGCCAAAAGCACGAATTTAGCTGTGGTTAGTGTACAGTAGTGTACTATCAGCTTGTCTTGATTTTAAATGTTTTCTTGCAGGAAGATTTGATTTGTATTTATTCACATACAGTTGCACTGGATGTGATCAACAGTTAACACTGGAGAAGATAATTAATGAAGAATATTGGCAAGGTGGCCCAAAGAATCTTAATTACATCTGTTGTGAAGATGTGTTCAGAGTTTGCGATTCACAGCGAAAATACATGCCAGGCACATTTGAGACAGCATTTCTTTAGTCCTTGGCCACTATATCTAGTGAAAAGGGTAGGGTTAGTAAATCATACTCAGGTCACTGTACATGGATTTGTACAAATCATAAATGAACAATTAGCAAATAAGAGCTGTACCAGATATACAGGGTGTCCCAAAAAACCCGAAAACTATTGAAATCACTCATTGTCAAAATTTGAATGCCGTGTTCACGAATTTCAGCCCGTGGGGATTTAATGCAACTTATAAAATGCTAAAATGCTTTGTGTTGCTAGAGAAAGGGGAATATGTCGAAGGTCATGGTCATATAAAGAAGCACATTTAAATATTGTTATCCGTATTTGTAAATTGTAAATATTGTTAATAAATATCATTTTTGCAAACAAGCAAATTTTACTGCATCATATGCATGCATAAAAATGACTATGGTAAACATTTATACACCTGTGGGTCCCTACAGAGTGCTTAGGCATTCAAACTCTATCAATGGCATTGTTATGGGTGATTTCAATAGTTTTCGTTTTTTTTGGGACACCCTGTATATCAAAAGCCAGATGTGTACCATTGTAAAGCATCTGGTCAATCAAATTTTGTACCTGAAGTGGTCTAAAATTATACATAATCTTCTTCATAAATTTTTAGTCAGCCATCATCAACACATCAGTGTTTCATTCTGCATTCAAAGAATGGTGTTTTGCCATGCATGAAGTTGACATCTTACAGGAAAAACAATGGGCAAATTGCCCATCATGTTTTAGATCCCAACATTTGTGTCATGTTGATGAAAACGCTAAACTTTATAGATACAAAAGTGTGCCAAGGTACTGTGTTGTTGGCTGGCTAAAATCATACTGACCAAATTTCCATGATTTATTTAATTTGCAGGGACCGCGGAGTTGGGGGGGGGGGCTGGTTGACTTTAGCACCCCCAATAATTTTCTAAATATGTGATTCCTTTATAGCGATTTTTATATGGCCATAATAATGAGAATAAAAATTCTTTATAGTAAGTTGTGTAATCAATGATAATTATGTGTTCACTATCCGTGTCGGTGAACAATGTTTTCTATGAAGTGTTTACAAGAAAAATATAAATAAATAAGTATGGACCCCCCCCCGAAAGTTCACTCTTTCGGCTTCGCTAGCCCCCCAATCCAAAAACTGCTCCGCGGTCCCTGATTTGTTTATAGAGGTGAAAGAAAATGCTATTATGAAAATACATTCATTGAAGATGATGAACTGGTAGAGGAGCGCTTGAACAATGTTTATTCCAACAACTGAGCTAAGGTCTGATCATGATTGTGAGGAATTATGGAGTGTTGTGCAATGTTACCAGTTTTGTTTACAATAATAATAATTATACCAAAACTGCATAAGAGTTATACTTATAAATCATATTTAATCCTCCCAGGGTCATTCAAGTAATTCCTATTGTGGTTCCTCTCATTGGAAAGCTGCAAGAAAAACGGTCAACCGTCAATCCAAACTAGATGAAACTGGTCTTGTTGTAGCAGGCTTTAGACATTCTCTGGCTCAATCTGCTGTGAATATGCATCAAGGTGAACTGTATGGATACACACATAATTAATTTGCAGATCAACCGACTAATTCACCGTAATGTTAAGTTTTTATGGCAAGATGTGATGATTTGTAAGTACTGGCCTTGGTTTATTTCGCTTCCAAAAGATTTGTCAGCTGATGAAGCCTTTTTGATGGCGACAGCATTATCTATCATGCATGCATGGTAAAGACAATGTGATGCTTTGGGCCGCCTTCACTCCGTCGGCCATCTTTCCAAATCTGTTTCATATTCAACTGTTAAAACATATTTAGCTAGCGTGTCTTACCTCTACGTAATTTTTCAAATCCCATTCGACATGGGGAGCATGCAATTATTAGAGAGAAGTCTGAAAGGTCTGAAGCGCCTCAAGGGTGAAAAATTGCGGGATCGATGGCCTATCACTGTGACCGAACTCTAGTCCCTTCATTCTGCCCTACGGCCTCAGTTTACAGATTGTTTAGACAATGTGATGCTTTGGGCCGCCTTCACTCCGGCTTTTTTTGGTTTCATGCGCTGTAGTGAATTCACCGTGTAATTCTCCATTTGATCCCGAGTGCCACCTATCATCCCGCAATGACATTATTTTCCACCCAAATATCCTCCACGCGGAATATTATGATGTCTTGATCAATGTTCCAAAACCGACCCTTTTCGTCGTGGATGTCGTTTAACAATTGCCTCATCGTAATGTCAAATCATCGAAGGGTTTGGATAATGAGAAAAGGGAAAACATACTTTTCAATTAACCGCTTTTTATCGCTCTGTGAAATAATATTCCGCACGAAACGATCATTTAATTGACAACAATTGAATGAATTTTATGTCATTTAATTGAACCACCCAGCGCGTGCGTTTTCGATGAAAATGATTTTTTCGTGAATCAAGCTAAAAACTGGTATGTGATGATCACTGAACGGCAACAAGCCCAGGGGCGTAGAAAGCATCCAGTGATTGGGGGGTACCCGCTTCCAGATAACTCTGCCCGGTTCGAGCTATGAGAACATATCTCCACTTTTCCAATTTACATCAGGTGCCCCAATTACACGTGTAACCCTAACATCGCACCTACGTCATCTACTTCAAGGGCAAGGACTAGCCGAAAAACTCTACGACTCTCATAGTTTCAGGGTCGGAGCTGCTACAGCTGCGAGCTCAGCCGCGGCCTAACCCCTTTAGTCTTGGCTCATCAAAACGCTAGGACGTTGGTCTTCAGACTGTTACGAGAGATACATTAGAACTCCAAAGGACGTCTTAGCTTCCGTTCCATAAAAACTAACTGCAAGTACTAAACATTGATAATTTTGTTTTAATATCTACCTTTAAAACTCAAACATTATGCTTCCTTGCTGTATAGTCTGTATAATACCAGTCTTCTGTTTGTGTGTATGTGGATCCTTCCTGCAAACTCGTAGCCTGTCGTATGTTTGTTCTGTCATGCTACCACGGCAACTGCACGATATCTTCGAATCTGTTTGTTCAAGGACGCACATACACACAATTGTTGGCCACCTTTGCAAGATTGTGTCTTAAAGATATTTTTGGCTGTCGAAAGACAGGACTATAATTCGGCCTACTTCCCGTGGCGGAAATTGCATTCTGCACTTTCTGCAGATCGCCATTAATGGCAGGAAGGGCTGTCCTTCTGGACAACACCTCGCCACTTGAAGTGCATTTGCACAGGTCATTCTGGTCGAAAACGCGAACTAGAGACTCGATGGATCAGTCAGGCAATATTTGAGTCGAGCTGACTGACTTGACCAGGGGTCCGCCTGTTCCCCTGTTATCTAGAGGCCCACCTTTTCCTTTAGAAAAACCTATATTTTTCGCACGCTCTTTCGAGTTTTGAGTGCCCTTACTGTCTCAGTATAAGTAATGGTGGTCCCTAGATCATCAGGTCTCAACTCACTGAACAACATGCACAGAGCTGGCTCACACCCTCTGCGAATTAGAGGTCCTCCTGTTCCTCTAGGAAAAACTTAGGTTAATTAGAGTCTCTAGACCTTTTTTCGAGCGCTTCCTGTCCAATTTATATGTCACAAAAATGTCTCATTGTGTTGTTGCTTTTCAAAATCCTTATAAAGAATCTGAAATTATAAACTACATTAAACGTATTATACATGTTTATGGTTTAACCTGAAATACACGACATTTTTCATTTTTTATGTTGTAGCTTTTTAGGAAAGTAATGTAGAATGTATGATTATAAGTACGTAATAGCAAGAAAATTCTACAACAATAATTATGAGTAGATAATTTGAGTTGAAAATATTAAAAAGATCAAAAACAATTAATAAAAAGTCACTGAGATAATAAAGATAAACATAATGTAATTATCATATTTATCACGTTGTATCCCCAAAAATCCGCAATTTTTCCCACAGACAGCGGGAACATCTTTGTTGGTTAAGCACGTCTTCAAATTTAGCAATCATCCATCAATCGCTCACTTAGCCGAGCTGCCTTGCGAGGACCAGTGAACTCAATTAAGACTGGAACGCTAGCTCTCTCACTTTTCCACTCACTTTCCCTTTCCCTTTCCCGGGCGAGGCCCTCGGGATATATCTTCCCTTGGGGGTAATATTTCGTCGAATTCCCCTCGCTCTAGGTCTATAAATGATAAATATAGCGTTACACAAAATGACTCAACTCAGATTAAGCTATCGATCAGCTATGCATCATGCTGATGCATGTCTGTGTGGTGTGTTCATTATTAAAGGCGGATTTCCACTTACGGCGAAATCGTTCGCTAGCGAAATATTTGCATATTTTCTTTTAAATTGAGAACAGTCAAGTCGAACTAATTTATTTATGCTGTTAAAATTCAACAGAAAACGTGCAAATATTTCGCTGGCGAACGATTTCGCTGTAAGTGGAAATCCGCCTTAAAATCTCTAAAATTCTAAATGTTAAACAGTTCATCTAATCTTGCTAATATATTGTATGATTTATTAATAGTTTTGAATATTCTCGGTATACATTTTCGGTATGATCTTGAATTGATAATTATTGATAAATATTTTAGGGTGTAGCCGTAGGAACGAGAACGCTGAAAAATTTAATATAAAATGATTCAATATTACACAATAAAAACAATAAAAACAAAGTAATACCTTTTTATTCCAAGTACAACAGAGCGCGGATATCAGTAATCTATTAAAAGATCGTTTTACCAGAAGAAATATGACGAACTAATTCGTTTGTTTTTTGAATAAATTCAAATATTATATCTCAACTGTAAATCATCCAATGAGAAAGCTCGATTTCTACCACGTGATCAGTAAATTACATACATAATATTTTCTCCTTTGTACATATAGTTCCGTTCATTAACTGTGTTGTATATAACCCTCTAATGCCATTCCTGTATATAATGACCGCATAAACTATTCATATGTATCATAATGAGGGCCATTTGGAAGAATACCGCTTAGGTAAAAATGTACTATTGTAACCCTCTTTAAATAAAGTTTATTATTATTATTATTATTAAATTAATCATTGAGTTCTATCGAATTTTTTCACATTATGCTATAAAAGTCGAAAGTTTGCGTGTACCACGCGTGGATGCCTCGCACACGACTCAAGGTTGTCAACAATTTCAAAATGGAGGCAAAAGAAGCCATTTCACCCAGCTTTTGCGCTGCCTACACGTTTTTTCGATATTAAATATAATTTAAAGCCCTTCCGCTCGGGGAATTCGACGAAATATTACCCCATCGGGAAGATATATCCCTCGGGCGAAGCCCTCAGGATATATCTTTCCTTAGGGGTAATATTTCGTCGAATTCCCCTCGCTCCACGTCTATAAATGATAAGTATTCCTTGGCGGACATGTGAAATTCCTCAGTTTTTCTGACCTAAATTTTAACCTTACTGGGGGTGAGTTAGTAGCTTCTTATCAAGAGATCGATATCGGACCCAGGTCTCTTTGTAAATGAAAAAGACCGACATCGTTCCGATATTTCTCGGTGAAAACCGAGCAAGTTAGGTTAATAAAAATTTTATTATATGGCATAAGGCATGTATTTACAGTTGAAACAAACAAGATATGCAGTATTAGTAGCCTGGTACCACTGCCTGGTACGCATTTGCTTAAAAAGTACCAAAATATTGCATTATATAGCTTAGCTAAAACCGTCTGGAGCCATCTTACTAATTTCAATAGCAATTAAATATTCCTTTCAGAATCAATTTGTGCCATTTGCTTTCTACCTTTAACACAGAAAAACAGAAGCAAAACATTGGGCGATGTCAGAAGCAGTTTTTCTTAAACATAACAGTTTCAAAAAAATAACGAGCTGCTTTTTTATTTTCAAATCGTTTGTTTTTTCCAGGCTTACAATTAATGCAAACTGGATCGTTCTACAAACACATTCTTTGTCCACACCGTCCATTCCCGTTACAACGACAGCATCGAGTCACATTTAAACTACAAGCAACTACAATACTTATACTTACGTGGTGTACCTACAAGCTAATTGACTTAACTATTATTTGTTTTAAGCATAAAGATAAAATATTTAAAAATGTTTATACATTGTATTTATATGGAGTATAGAAAAACATACGTGGTAAATTATATCATGCATGTGCATGACAAATACTTTTATCTTGCAACTTCACGGTTATACAATAATATAAATATTATAGGTATTCGAGAAATAGGAAACTTCCACCGCGAAATCACTGCATCCATGAGTAATCATTGTCGCTGATATTCACGAATCAACATTTAATCATACCATTTAGGGGCTGATTACATGGACCGGGATTTCAATATGATATTTTGGCGAACATTTTTTGAAATCAATTCTGTAAATGTCAATCCTTCCTAAGTTTTAAAGTATGATATTCATTCTTGTGCTTTTAGGCCAGTTTGCCGGCCTCAAACGAAATTTCAACTAAGCAGGGGCGTGGCAAACAAGCTAGAATTGGAGAGGGGTGTCGCGTAATGTTGTCCCACTTTTGATAATGGAAATGAAAATTTGTGTATGACATGGGTGTAGGAGATTGGTCAACTTTTCTATGAGTATCACGAGCTTTAAATATTCATAAATACTGAAACAAATGTTGTTGTATGTTTGTTAAATTTGCTTACAAATAACAAAGCAATTTGACCAACTTTTTATCATGCTGAATTATCAGGGGGTGTCACACCCCTCACACCAACCCCCTACCAATTGCCACACCCATATCGGCAAGCCGAGCTGGCCCGCTTGACACAACCACAGCCCGAGCTGACCCGGTTGCATGTGATCGAAACGTTTAAATTAACTATAATAAACTATAGGGAACGTGCCAGCCTCGCCCATGCCATCCGTCCCTTACATCATGACGCGGGTTCACATCACTATGCATGGACCTATTCGAAGTAGAGCAAGAGGCCTATTGCGAGATACACAAAAACGAGGCTAGTCAGGTTTTCTACTGCAAAAATTCCAGAATAATTTGTTTACTTCTAAATTTTGATTGAAGGAAACTTCGTCTTTTGTATCTGGTGACATAAAAAAAATATGATTCTGATATTGAAAAAAAATAAGATCTGATTATAGCCTGACTACACCAAGAAATTGAGCTTCGCCCAGGCTTCTTTCTCCTTTTTCAAAAGGTTTATGTACTTTATCTTCTAGAGGAGCTTCAAAAATTGCTTTAAAATATAAAAATGGAATGCTAAAAACTTCTGATAAAAGTGTGCCTGACAAAACGGGAAACTAATTCTAAAAGTAAAGATATCCATGATTCATCACTCACTCCAGCTATTTTAGTCCAGGTAAATCATTGACCTAAACCTTCCTTGTTACTCATTTCACTCAAGTCTCTGACTAAATTAAGAAAGATGAACAAAAATATCCTTCATTTTATAGCTTCGTTTTCCTGGGTACGAAAATATTTTCGTTTAGATTTTAATTTCTAATGGAAGAAATCATACTTTCCTATATAGCGACATAAAGACAGCTAACTTTAACGTTCAGCAAAATAACATGAACAATTGAAAATGTATTTCTTTTGATAGAAGGATTTTTCGTTCATCGTCTTCCGTCAGGAACAGTAAAGCAAGTAAAGAGCGCTATTATACTGAATTCCTGTGTGTAGAATAAACTGAACGCTTAACAAGTAAGAGGCTGGATATTCATGTACGCTTATCACAAGTACACAAAGGAAGTATGTGAATTAATCGATCTCACACGCAGATTATAAAAGGAGACAGCACTGAGGAAAATCTCTTGGATACAAATTATATTTTAAAAATATTTTTCTACCAATATCACACAGTTCAAACGTTTTTAAAAACTCGTGCGTTTCGCCGTTAAAATTAGAAATTCCGTGCTTAACAATTTACATCACGAAAGGAAAAACTAAAAAAAAAACGTTTCAACGATTTCCGTGGTTTTCGCATTTCAGTACGTTCCATAGCTGAACGTTTTAATTTACGCGTGGTTTTTGCATTTAAATAAGAAATCGGATTCTAAACTACTTACATCAAGAAAGGAAATCTTAGAAATGCTTTTCAATGTTATGAATTTTGAGACATTTGTTGCAATTTTTTTCTACGAACAGAAGGGAACGCGTTGATAGAAGAAAGAAAGGAGGAGATTCACTCCTAAAAAAACCAAGATTACCAACGTATCTGGAAGCTATGATCCTGCATTGCGACACCTTAACAAAATGTATGCCTGCACGGGTGAAAATAGCGATCAAATCAGAATCGATATAAGCAGCCCGTCTAAAGTTTTCAATCGTAAAATTAAGAAAATTTTGCACATCATTTGGGAAAGGATTAGGATGTAAACGAATAATATACAATGTATCTCCTGACAAGAACACCGCATTGCGAGTCGTTTTTGCACCAGATAAAGACCACCAAGGAATATCCGATAGATCAGGTAGAAACATTTTTCCAGTTGAACGTACAATCCATGTGTTGCCACATTTTATTTCCCACAATTCATAAGCTGAAACGAAGAAAGAAGAAAATAATAACATAACAGCACACCCATCAGAACTTATTGCCACAGAAGGGCCAGTAGTAAACCTACATGACGGTGTTTCCTGGTAACACAGTTTTTCGTTACAAATTCTTAAAATAGAAAGTTTCCGATCGCCGTAAATCACAAGAACTCCATTTTTAAACGCAAGGACACGTCCAAAATTTACAATAGATTCTTCATGTTGACTTTCTAAGATATTTTCACTCCTAGGTTCATAGCGATATTTAAAAACCAGACCTTCAAAGACCAACCAAAGATACGACTCTGACCACCAACATGCTAATGCTCGTTGTTTCAGTGCAACAGTTTGCAATGTTTTCCCACTATCCACACTTCTTATTGAAAGAACGCAATTTTCAAAACAGCACGCAACATACAAGGTGTCTGGAGAGAGTGCACGACAATCAATTTCGGCATTGTCAACAAAAGTAGCATCAGGCCATTCCAGATCGGATTTGAAGGATAAAAACAGTACTTGGTGGGGAAATCCTAAAGATAAAAGGAAACTCGTCGCATCTAATTTCGAAATGTAATTGACATGAGTACCGTATGGCAAAAATCCAATCTCTAACACGTCAACGATCTTTTCATTTATAAAATCGTACACCACTAAAGCTAAAGCATTTTCCAAATTATTTGCGAATGCTACACACTTTCTATTTTTCCACAAAAAGACTTTTGAAAAATATTTATTGGAAATAATAACTGTCTGACCAGATGGCAAACATATAATTCATTTTTATTTGACATTCAAGTCATCAGGCGAATAGCAAGGGGAAAATATTTGAAAGGAATTTTTAGTAGATAAATTCTGATAAACACGAATATTCTTGTTATCAATCTTTTCCAAAGTTTCAGAATTCAAGATATTCATGTATTCTAAGACTGTGGAACCGTATCTTTCATCATCCTTTACCCAAAGAAGAATGTACGAGTTACAATTACTAAACAAACAATAAACTCCTACCATACACATTCCAACTTCAACCAATAAATTCTTCCTTTTTACATCCCAAAGTTTGATTGACGATTCCTCTAATGTGACAAGTTTCATTCCACATGAAGAAAATGAACAGTAACTGATATCATCGGGGCCGTGCGTAATGAAGGGGACCTCTTTCATTTCTTTAATATTGATGCAGAACCGGATTGAATTGCATAAAATATATGAAGAGTCTGGAGAAAAGGCACAGAACAGGTAACGAGGTCCTATCGTAATTTGTGCCTCAAAGATAGTTGTAAGATCTGGTATTTTAAGAATTTGAACTTTGTCGTCTGGGAAATGTACGCAAGCAAGTATCGTATTGTCCGGTGAAACAATAAAATCAAAAATTGAATTGTCTTGAACCACAGCTTCGAGGACAATGCTTAAATTAAAATTGCTTTCACTTGTCACATATTCTATCCAAATCTCATTTGTCGCACCCAAGATATCCCTAGCTACACTTTTGGAATTGATGGCACCTTTCAAAAAATCAAAGTGCCCATTAGCAAGTGCTTGCAAATATACGTAACAATGATGTTTTTCATAAGTCTTAACAATTGGTGTCACAGAGCTAACTTCTACTATTTGGGAGAGACAAAGCTGTTGCATGATGCTCCAATAAATATCTTTAAAAAGTTTAGAACGGTACGTTCCAAGAATTCGCCTGAAAAAATAACTGTCCAGGCCATCAAAAAATTTTAGTTTCAAGAAGTTTATACCAACATGCACCAACCAATGAAATTCCTCTACCTCGCCTGAATCGACCAAATATTTCCAACCATTTTCTAAAGCGTACCTATTCTCGGCTGAAATTTGGAATTCTAAAACAGATTTCAAAGCATCTATCTCGCAGAATTGTTTCTTACAAGCACGCCAGAGACGTCTATTGCCGTCTTCAACATCTGCAACGAATGCATGTTCTTCATAACCGTTCAATGTCAGCCAATCCCATAATGACTTATGATAAACAGTCAGACATTGATCATAAACTGGAAGAATCTCTGACATTATGTCAAGAACCGCTTTACGAATTTTAAATTCGTCTTTAGAGAGACCCATGCATGTGAAAAGAATTTTTATTGGGACGGGCTCCATAGAAACGGCAACGACATTGATGAAACTGTTTAAGAGACATGAATTATCTTGCTTGAAATGTTGGAGGCCTATGTCTAAACGTTTGAACTGTTTTTCGTAATACCCGGAAATACCGTTGGAGATGTAATCACTTAGGTCGGGTTCAATTCCCACGCCCTTTTCTTTCAATTCACTGACCAAGTAATAAGCGTACAAAAACGATCCCTGACACTTTGAAATAACTGACCATATACTATAATCATCAAGATTAGGTAAACTATGACGAACGAAAAGTTCTATGTCGTTTTTGTGATCTTCGTCATCAGGGCGGATTTCCCACGGGTGAAGATGTTCAAGAATCTTTCGTACTTGTAGCTCTGGTCGACTTGAAATGAATATCTTAATCCAATCTGGCAGTTCACAAAACTTCTCAGATATCAACTCCAAAAATTCGCTTTTCTCGTCAGTTTTGCTCTCGTCCAAAGCATCAACGATGATCAACATTGGATCGTGTCTGTCAAGGGAATGGAGGGGGTCGTTCAAAAGAACACGAAATGCGTCTGAAAGCGAGTCACGAGAATGTTCACGACGAAGAATTTCAGTTAATTTATCACGAAATCCTTCAACATTATCACACATTTGACTGGCGAGAGACTGAAGGATTCTCTGAGGATTGCTGGAATCAGAATTTCGAAAGTCACAGAAATGGTGAGCTGCGTGTTGACCACGTTCTCTAAAAACCTCGCAAAGCTTTGCAGACAAAACACTTTTTCCAACACCTGGACCTGCAGTTAGGATCAAGACCCTGGATTCTTTACTCCCAAACCAATTTGAAAGTTTATCAAACAACCACTTTCTGGTGCCATCTTGAAATTTTCTACAAAGGTCACGAATCTTTCCAGCAAAGTTAAATTTAGCCAGTTGCTCGACATTCGAGAGATGAACATTTTCCACTGTCTTTCTTAGTTTGACTACTTCACTTTCAACTTCGTTTAATTTTGACATAAAATCATCCTCTTGTTGTTTCCACTCTTTTAATCTTTCAATATAACTTTCTTCTTCAGGGCTAAGAGGAGCCACCTTTAATTGATCAATATCATTTTGAGGAATTCCCAAGCTGACTAACGGAACAGAAATTTCTTGCCACAATGTTTCAAACGTTACGTTGTCCAAACCAGCAGTCGGAATATGACCATAGACTTCATTTCTGAACATTTTGACTCTTACAATATTTGCAGATACAGAAGTATCGCTGACTGGAGGCATCACATTCCATCCGGTGGCTGGTGCGGACAATCCACAAATATTTCGGAGCAGGACAGTCAATAGAGTAATATCAAAGTTGTTTGAATCTGGTGTACCAGATCTTGGGAAGAGTAGATCCCATTGCGAGGCTTTAATTACACTGTATCGTATTCTCTGCAAGGTCGCTCTGTTTGCATTCAATACGGAAGCTAAAGTGGAAGGTGGATGCACCGCATGCAAAGCATTTCTCAAAACATCTCCACCTTTATCTACCAACAAATGACATACCCTGGAATAATTAGCTTTGGCTTTCAATGAATCCATTGTTGTTTTTAGATATTAACTTCAGAATCCTAGAACCAGAGACACACACTGTGAAGATGATAATTTTGATAATACTGTTGTTATACAAAGGTATTATCAATTATTAGCTTTTTTAAAGTGATATAAACAAATAAAAAGCATTTTCACTTCGATTTGCGTCTCGTGAAAATATGGAGATCTATCTAATTTTCACTAATCAACTAGCCTGTGCAACCTCGTACCCAGGGTTTTTAACCTACGCTCCACGGCCCACGCTGCGGCGAAGACCCTGGTTACCGCTGGTCACGTGATTATCATTTTCTCCAAAAACTGGGGGAGAATTAAAATATTATTTAGGGTGGGGTGGGAAAGGAGCGTGTGTGAAAAATTGTGAAATATCCTAAAAGTTTCTTTACAATATTTCGCGACTTTACCTCGACATTGCTTGCATTTACTGTAAACGCTAAATGATCCAATCCTGTTTGGGGGGACACAATGTATCAAATCACATTTAGTAATCAAATTACAGATTTGAACATGCGTTTAAGTTCAAACGGGTCGATGCCTAGTAAAGAGACGCCAAAAAAGCTCTATAAAATAAAAGGATCGACGGCCAGCATTTCGCGTTGTAGGCTTTGTAATTGTAAAATCCGAAACACAGCAAGAATCTTTATCGAAAGCAGTGCGAAACAATCCTTCGAAACGCGGAGATTATTCTCGGTGAAAAGTTGCCGCAAGATAGCGACCTTCCTTATCGAATATGTGCGCCATGTGAGAGAAGGCTTAAAAACGCGGTAGAATTTAAGAGAATTATAAAAGAAACCCAGAAAACATTAACGGAAAATATCCGTGCCAAGCGTTGCCTAGAAATTTCACCATCTTTCAGTTTGGCAGACATAGATATAACCCGATTCATGCATGACCATAGCTTGCACTATTTTGACGCGGTTTCCCCTGGAGAAATGATGCAAGCCATGTAATGATGTGAATAATGAAAGAATATCATGGTTTAAGTTTGGCAGACGAAACTACAGCTGAAATTCCAGTTCAAGTAAGTAAATACATGTGATATTCTTCAAAAATTTAAATGCTCAATCATAATATTGGTATTCAATTATATTACCAGTATTGTGGTTAAATATTTTGGCATTTTTGCGCAATGGCATACGTAGTACATAGTACATACACAGTGCATTCATGCATACAAAATTCAGAAAGATAACGAAGATCTCATATATAAATATTTATTTTAAAACATAAGAAATATCTTGTTGCTCTGTATAAGAGTATTTAGACTTACTTTGAATAAAAAACTTGACTGTATTATGTCATGTTATTTATAGGGTGTCTTTCCAGG